TACAATGGAAGAAATAAAATGGAAGGTGGAATACTTTGTTTCAGTTCCTCACACCGCTTAGTAGGTTTGTAGTACTAGTACTTAGTAGATGTTATGTGGTAGGGAGGGGGGAAATACCTTAGGTCCGACCATGCCAGGTGCTCCCTATGTAGAAACAAAGGAGGAAAATAATAAGAGTGTTGTACACTTTGACAGTTGAGGTTTAATTCATGAATACTACTAGACTGATTATACCCCTTCCCTAAAAACAAGGTAATTACCGATCAGCAAACTAACAATAAAATCATACAAATATGGAAAAAGGTCATAAAATAGTATCTCAGCACTAAATGTTTGTTCCATAATACAAACTTCACAAAAGGTTTTTTGATTTACAAGAAGCTGAACATCATGCAATCTAAATCTAATGTTCTATCTACTGGACTGCCTTACTATAGATAAAGTTCCTAATGTGTATCTCAACTGATGACCAAACTAGCCTTTCTTATCACTACACATGCACACTGTAAAAGATGTATTTGAGTTGATAGTTTTTACTTACCGGAGGACCAGGCAATCCATCCTTGCCCTGGGGAAAAGTAGTACAGGTCCTAGGGTTAGTAACCATGGCAACAACATCCCTCTATACTCCCTCAGCCTGTTATTCTCCAGTTAGTCCCAATACCATGGTAACAGTCACCATGGTAATGGTAACCATGGGAACAGTGTCCATCCTCAGTCTATCTATCCCATACAAGTTATTTCATCCATGAAAAAATGGATACGAAGTTTTAAAAATGTCTGTATAGTATACTGTACCCATACGCAAAATAAACGATTTTAGAAAAAAATTCCAATAAAAAGTACTGGCCCTGATGAAAGTTAGTGAGTGAGACATCTCTCTAAACATTGTCTATGGGCTAATGTAAGGAGGATAAAACGGTACTCAACAGGGTTTCGTGTTTGAGTTAGTAGGTATAGTGTACATGTACCGGTAGTTGCCATCCTTCTAGATGGTAGAAAGTTTTGCTGTGTCATGCTCTGACTATGATGATACGAGTAATGGACAATCATCAAGTCAGGACATGCTATAGCAACTATATCAGGCCAGCTAGTACATGGGAAAACATTCAGGCAACCAGGCTTTATAAGACTGTTGAAGATGCCCTAGTGTCTTAATAGTCTTTGACAAGCTAAATAAAGTCTGATCACTAACTGTTGCCTATTACCCCATGTACTAGCAAGCCTGCATGTACATATGAGTATGAGGATCAGGTTAGGGGACATTAGTCTTACCGGTTCGCCAGCTTTCCCTATCCCGGCAGGGCCCTGAAAAGGTGGCAATGGTAGCACAGGCATCACAAAACAACATTCCACACACAGGGAGACATAGGGGGGTCATTCACTACTGTCACCAAAGGGGTCTACTCATCAGTAGTAGGCCGGTTTCTTTTCGTGGTGGTTTTGCTCAAGCCCACAGGTAAGTAGTCCACACTACATGGAGGGAGGTTTACATGGGGTTTGTATGACAGGTCACAGAAAACTTCAGGCTAAACTAAAATGTAGGTTTAAATTTGATAACAAACAGCCCCTTTAGTTCAGCAAGACTCGATTTCAGCCGAGATGACTTGTTTTATATGGCATTGTGATATGAAAGCCAAAGTCAAGCCAATATAATCATGGACATTACGAAGAAAAATACAGTCATTACTATAAGAGAACTGAATTTTCATGTAACAAGAAATTACCAAGTGAAAGCTCTTCTCACACTAGCACATGTCATTACAGGTTTACATTTATTTCAACTTTTATCATTTCAGAATATTGCCATTAAAATGCACAACTTTCGACATCCATTATATGAATCCACATGTGCATTTACCACATCTGAATCTGTGACATACATTATATTGCCTTGACCTGTAAACAACGCAATCACAAATTTCATAATGAACAATATCAAAGAGTACAATGCACAGTATTTAAGCCGTGCATTAACTCTTATGCCATAATTTGTCCGCAGCCAAAATAAGCTGATGGAATGTGCTTAACTATGCAACACGAGCTAAAAAGCTTTAAAATGCACACGTCTACAAAAAACACTTCACAGCCTGCATTTTGTAAGAGTTTCAATTCTTCTTTCCTCCAGTTTTCCAATACTTTGAAAGCTACATACAGAGTTCACAAATGGTTGTGTCACAATCTATGTACATTGACTGTGTCTACAACTGTCTATACCTTTTCCGGCAAAAGTTAATACCGTTGTTGTATAAGTTCTGGTTTTTAAATGTTAATTACTAGTATTAAAGAAATTTGGTAAAAAGGGTAAATCAGAAGGGAAAACTTCTTACAAAATGCAGTACAAAGTTTACATAATGCAAGACTAGTGTTACCTTATACATATGGGACAAAAACACCCCCTATCCATTGCAAGCACAGAGGGAAGTGACCATTGGTTAGTAGAGTGAATGGTTAGTATTGTGCACAGCAATTCTGTTAGCCAATGGCAAGCAGTTGTTAGCTGTCAATCAAATCCACACTGTTTTCAACCTGACCAATAGCAACATTCCAGTCGACTGGATGTAAAGTTCTGAGAACAGAACACCCACTTTAAAGACATCATCAATGTTTGGTAGTCATTTTTTGGTGGGGAGAAGTACAGAAATCTTTTTCTTAAATTCTGTTGTAATGTGTTTCACAAAGTAAAACCTCTGTTGGAAAACAGGGAGCAGCTGCTTGAATCTCAGCTCAGGTGTTTGTTTTCAGCCAAATCCTCAAAATGAAAGGTTATGTTCTTCACCTGTCTCAAAACTTTCACTGCAAGTCACGCTGGCATATAACTTGTCAAGACCAAGCCAATCATGAGTAAGCAAGTAAAAAATGTTAAGGATTATGGATTCATGGTAATTTTCACACATGGACATGATGTGGGGGAGGGGGAGGGCAAAAAGTTATGGACATACTCGGTCACATGACATGGGAATACATTGTAAGTATGCACATGGCGGCTGATGCAGCAATGGTTTTGAGGGCCCTTTAACCTGAGTTAGTATGACCTTGACCTGTGACCTTCAATCTGTATGAATACAATATCAACTAGAGAAAATTTGCTTTCTTCATTAACATTACACCAACACTTAATATAATAACTTATCATAACTTAATATAATGCTACTGCAGACATAATATCTTCAACTTTTCCAAAAACGATTCAAATACAATTCCCAATTTTGGTTCAATAATGTACATTTGCTGTACTGTTTTGAGGAAGTGTTTGTAGACTAAACTTACATGTGCACAAATCTTTAACAACAAAAAACAGACAACACTCTGATTTCAAAGATAATCAGTCGCTCATATTGACTAATAGATATCCTACATCATTGACATCCATAACGTTGTCTTACCCATCTGATTAAGGAAAAAAACAATATTACATCTAACCTTAGTCTACATTTAAAAGATAATAAGTTTCCTTTGACTGCATTATATTTTGAGAGAAAGACTTTTAGTCGTTAAAGGTCACAGGTTCAGATTCAGCTAACAAAGGTCAAATGGTCAGAAATACACTTGATGTGCCATTGCATACCCAGAATGGGAGGGGGGGGATTTAGATGATAGTTAGGATCACACCAACACACAGGTGAAGTCAGGTGGAACTTTTGTGTGAACTTACAGGTAGCCCCATGGGTCCTCTGTCTCCCTTTTCCCCAGCTGGTCCCATTGCACCCGCCGGACCCTACGGTAGGGAAGTCAACGGCAACTACTCACTACACTAGCAGTGTCACCACTACATCATACCTCTATAGGGAAAATATTGCAGCGGCACCAGTGTCATTAAACAGCATTAATCACCAAGCCATGGCAGAGTGGTGTTAAAGCCGAGATACTATGGGCTACACCAGTCAATCTACAATGTAGTAGTGTCTCAGGGAGCTACGGGCAGTGCTAGGTTTGTTACAATCATTCATATTACAACATATATATTTTTCCCCTAACCAAGGAGGTTCTAAAGCCTCCCTGCTCTAACATACATGTGTATGCATTTCTTCCCTCACTGGAGATGTTTCCCTTTTAAAGAATGCATAAAGCCTACCATTGGTCCAGTTTTCCCTGTGTCTCCCACTTCTCCCTAAAAGTGGTCAACAAAGAAGGCTGTTAAATGGGCAATAAGTAAAATTAAGACTAACACAACATTCTGGTAACCCTTGTATGCACTCTTCTTTCACTTACTAAAAGTATAATCCTTGTAGAATCATCTTAGCAAAGATACAAGCAAGTACCAAAGAAACTTGGTGGTAGACTTGGTGGTAGAACATCATCCAAGTCTTTGTAGTAAGATAGAACACGTTGATAATACTGCAACAATACTGAAGACAGCTGCAGGAGGTAACATTAAATCTAAGTTTCAAATACCCTACCTTAGGTCCTGGCTCTCCCCTTAATCCCTGAGCTCCCTGCAAAGGACACAAGGAACAAGTAACGTTAATACATGTGTATGCTATTTTCATTACATAACAGTATTTTTTACACAAGGTACCAATATTATTTCTTGGCATTAAACATTCTTAACATTTTGTGTCTGGTAGCTATATCAGTTACGCTGACAGCATAAAAGTTCATTAGAAAGTTACATCTGTATCAATTTAACTGTTTCCTCACTCACTTATAGTCATCATCAAAGTCAAAATAATTATAGTCAAACTCAAAGGAAAAGAAATAACACTGTACTCCCAAAGCTTACCATTGGTCCTGGAGGGCCTCTTGGACCTGGCATCTGAAGGTAACAAATACAACAAAAGAATTAGTAACATCTCAAATTGTGACACTATGCAACAATGGCTACACTTAGTGCTCAAAAGTGTATAAAACACAGTCCAAATCAGAAGAAGCATGATATGTTAACATACAATCTTATGTCAAAGACTTGTTCTATATTAACAGTATTTCCTCTAGAGAAATTATTTCAATCTACCAAACGACAAATGAATTGCCCACAATTTATATTACTACTACAATGTACCAGTATTATTATTAAACCTTCCTTGTTTGTGAGCTTAGGAGAAACTATGTCAACCTACAAGATTACAGAGAAGTTAATATGTACCATTACTGTACGACCAGCAGTCCCCTCTCCTGCATCACCCTATCATTAAGAGAGAGGACAGGGGTGAGTACAGAATCACCTACCAAGTTAGTCTACACTGAATCCTCAAGGGAGGATGTCAACTCTGCAATCTTTCAAGAATATGGTATCTGATAATGAGTTCATCATGCTTTTAGGACTATTTTATGACTAGTCTCTAGAACAAGCAAATCTGAATTGTTATATAGTAGTACAGTAACTGGAGATGGTTAGGACTGTTTGGGAAAATACAAACTACAGCCATACAAGAACTGAGTCTGAACGTACATCATGAATTAATATCACTGACCACATAAAATCATTCTGGTATAATTCTGACTCGAGAAATGTACAATTCTAAACGTGACGAATAATTATGAATGAAAAGCATAACAGTAACTTAAAAAAACAGCAGCATACTACATTACAGCAGCTACTGGCCTTATGTCAGAAAGAATAGTTTCTTGGGGGCATCAGAAATAGAATGGATGCTATCATTTGCACATAAAGCAGAGGCCTACATGTAGGTTCAGGTTTAAGTACAGTGTACATTCAACAAGTAGACAGTGTGTTTCTATGTGTGTGTTAACGTGTCTGTGTGTGTGTGTGTGTGTGTGTGTGTGTGCAAGTGTGGATGTATGTAAAGAAATTGTGTGAATGTGTGTTTCTTTGTGTGTTTTTTGTGTATGTTTCTTTGAACGTGTACTTGTGTGAGAGAGAAGAAACCACTTTTTCTGATTCATAAGACAACTAGGGGACAATTAATCAACCATTATCACTAGAGGTGCTGAGATGGCGTTCTATCTATGCAGCACACACCACTCGGGAGGAACTATCTGTGAATTACCCTGTCTCCCTTTTTGCCATCAAATCCCTATGTCATGTGTCAGACACGCACAAGTGCAACGAGGAATGGGGGAGAACGACAAGAGAAGCCAGAGAGATGCAACAAGAAAGGGAGGGAGAGAAAATAAGTGAGACATGGTACCTGATAGGAGAACTTAGGTAGTAGATTGAGGCACATTGAGGTTGTTACAAATGAAGATATGAAAATAGAGGGAAGAAAACAGAAGACCAGTTCCAGTAGTAGGCCATCGGACCCAGGTATGGTCAACAGCAACAGTCCCTCTCACATGGGCAAATATGTTGTAGCTTAGAAAATGGTATTGTGAGTTGTGACTGCTTCATGTGTTGAGAATGAAGCCTGGCACAACTGAATATATTTTGATCATGCTTGTAGTGCAATCATGTAGAATTCATTTAACTCCAATTTCACAATCATGGTCCTCAGCATTTGCCCAAATGAGAGGGAAAACAACAACAGATGGGGATATATTTTATACAAACAGAATCTTTGAGACACAAACAGAAGAAAAGTTTTCAGACGAAGTATTTTTAACACAATTGACAGGACAAACTTTGTCTAGTAAAATATAGGGCAAGTTCTGTACCTTTTTCCCAGGAGCACCCTGAAAAGGGGGAGAAAAAAGGTTAGATTTGATTGTCAGTTGAAGTGTAGCATACAAAACCGTAATACATTATTGAACATGTCAATATTAAGTCGATTAGTATGACTTTTTTTTTACTAGGAACCATAAATTCATGTCAATTAAAGATGCAAAGTAACGTTAGTGCAACCAATTATACTTCTCCAAATGTTTCTTAGTTGTCACTGAAAGCACTAGGACAGAAAAAATTGACCCTTTTCCATTTTAGCAAAACATCTTATGGCAAATTTGTGTTAAAATCACCAGCAAGATAGTTAACACAACAAAGGATTGTCATAAGCACTATTGCAATAGAATATATCTGATTCAATGTCTTACAGCAAAGCAACCAACCACCTTTATACTTTATGGGTTTAAAGTCCAGAAAGACCTCTCAAAGTTTACAGTCGCTAATGTCTGTCAACCTTACCACATGGGGTTTAGTTAAAATAAAATGTCAGTGAAAAATCATGAACTAAGAAAAAATTCAAATAAAAAAATTGATTAATCAAATAAATATGATGTCTATTCTTTGTTTTCTACAAATGTTAATGTTGTTGGGTTTGGCAGGTCTTTCTGGACTTGAAAGACTAAAAGAATTTTGGCAAAAACAGTCAGAAGTGAAAATGTGAAAAGTCCTATAGTAGAACACATTTCCCACATGTTCACTCCTGTCTATTTTTGGGGAGGGGGGCAAGTACCGCAGGTCCAGGGGGGCCTTCTGCACCATCGTTGCCAGCTTCACCTTTATCGCCCTGGTTTAAATCAAGGTCGTATTTAGCATTAGAACAAATATTAGCATTTAGCATTAGAACAAACTAACGAGACAAACACCATATTGTGTCAATCAAATAAGACTTTCACCTTGTGAGAGTAAATGTCCAATAAGTGATGCATAATATTGTTAATAAGAAGATAGCAAACAAAACCATGACATAATAAGAAATAAAATCACCTATCACCTACAGAAGATAAAAACCTACATTACTGTGAAAATCACCTACAGAACAATGATACCATGACAGACATTTTCCTCACAAGGATGACAATTTTAAATGGTGTAAATCACAGCCTGTTTCATTTTCCTTGTGCCAAACTTTGTTGAAAAGCACAAATTGTCTTGCAGCTCTGTTGAAGTTAGACCAACATCACTGAAACAAGCATGCTTTGAAGTTTGATTGAAATGGCCTCTTGTTTTTGTTATCTGTGAACACAAGAAGTGATTCCAGGAGGGTCTTACAGGAGGTCCAGGCAGACCCATCTCTCCTCGGTCACCCTTCACTCCGATGCCAGGCAGGCCAGGTGGTCCTCGTAGGCCAGGGTCGCCATCTTTGCCAGGGACACCGTCAGCACCAGGGCGGCCCTGCAACAAGCAATACATCATACAAACATCATGATAGTACATGTGGATAGCATACACTTTACCATAGAGTAAATGCCTGTGATGCTGACCAAAGCTTAACGTATTCTGCCACCATTTAACAAACCTATGGGGTCTTGCTTGACAGGAAGATGACAACATTACATTTGCCGCAAGCAAATCCTACCACTTGCTTTGAGGCAGATGTCTTGTGCCATCTCGTCATGTATAATGAAGTGCTTTCTTTGTTGAAAGAACTTCTATGTCTATGGTGTATTATTTTTTCACAAGGTCAGAATCAGAGGCTGAATTGCAAGAAGTATCAACCTGCAAGGTTAGTTTGTACCTCCACCAACTTGAAAGAAGCAAGCCATGCCAATTTTGCCTAGAATTTCTTGCATGAAATGGAGTTACAATGTCTCTTAATTCAATTTCCTACCTACATACATCAATTTTACATCTGTTTCTCTCAACCTAGTTAACTAGCCATAGAACTTTACATGTACATGTATCTGCAATGTGCTAGATATATGGAACTACAGCTACAGGCAAGGCAAAGGATGGCTGTCCGATGTAAGATTTGAATTCCTCTTCAATTTTTGCAAATCAAGCATCTCAGAAGAAAAGGAAACACTGTTACAAAGCAACAGAAATGTATTTGAAACCTTAACGATCTGCATTTATTTAACATTCCACACTTAGAGTACAACAATAATGAATGGGGTCAGCAAACAGACACGAAAGTTTCATCACACATTTTCAATTTTGTACTTCATACACCAAGGACAAGTTTCATACCTGGCATTGTCTGAGATATTAATTATCCCAGTGTATGTGTGCAAAAAATAATGACACCTTAACACTGCAGTGCGACATGCATTTCTTGGTTGGGAATCCATGTGCACTTCTCCATACAAGTTGTATGGAAATAGTTTAGGTGCTGTTATTTCAAGAAAGCATGTTGGACATCCCAGGAGAGAGGAACATGGTAGCTGTGCACATGCAGCACTGTGGTACACTACAGTGCATTAATTCGCACGATTCTGTGAGAGTTTTCTGAACCTATGGACACACAGTCTTCTTTTGTAACATTTTGTTCATGAGACGGGGCTAACCGAAAAAGTTGAGATTACGTTTGGCTGAGCTCGAGCTGACTGAAACAAACAACTAAATGTTATGAGTACATACATGTATATTGAGTCCAGCATTTAGAAGTCAATTGACACCATTTTAAAGTTAGTCTTAACTTCATGGCCCATTTTAACTACAATACTCCTATTATAAAATAGCGAGTACACAGGATGAGGTCTATACCTCTGTGGCTCTGTCTTATCATATGCTGGGCAGCTTACACTGTAACCTATAAATGACATTGATGTCCCTTTATTTGTGGTGTCCATGTGCCTTAGGCAAACTCTCACAGAATCCTGGGAATGGTAATGTACTGGGTACCTACCCGTCTACCCCTTTCACCCTTGACCCCGGGTGACCCCTGGGGAGCACAAAGGCATGGTGTAACACAAGTTCATGATCATCTCTCAGTAGATCAATAGACTGTACAATAGTCAAGTTCAAAGTCTAATCTATGCCCAGACCGTTGCAGGAAAAAGCTGCTGCTGCGACAACATACTGCTTCTCACCTTTGCTTTGCAATAATTAGCACTTTTTGCACAACAGGAGTTATCCAAGCAATGTTATCTTACATGTCCTGAGAGGAATAGCAGAATGCACATCTTAATTTCTAGTGTGTCTATTCTTCATTACAGTAGCTGTCATTTAAAACTTTGCAATGGCAAGGCCCAGTCAAGCAGCACAAATGTATTTTTTTAATTGTAAAGTCTAGCAACATTTAGGTTCTATCGAAAATAACTACTAATTAAGAAGGTTAATTTAACAGCTGTTGTTATGGGTAAGAGGTTAGCCTACATGAAATACCAACATTACCCAATGTTCTACAAATGTTCTATGAACATCTTTAGGTAAACGTTTTTAAAACAAGTACCATGAGTTAAGCTAAAGCTATCAGCAGTTCACTGTTCACATGCCTTTTATTCGTACAATACATTGTATACCTTACCAAATTGACATGAAAATTTTTGTATGTGTGCAGTAAGCTTGCTTAATTAAGTTATTAGTTCTCTACTTTTGAAGTACCCTTGTTACATGTACATGTAGCAAGCTCATGATGAACAAGTTATCATGAGTTACTAGTATTGCATACAAAATGCATGAAACCAAGGAGGTTAAATACATGATGAAACTAAAATGTCAGCTCATTGCCTTTAAATACCCCATTCTTACTAGAACTATACAATAGCAGACTGAAGTGAATGATAACCCTGAAGGTCCATTCCAAACTTAATGTTTTTGGATTGACCCCTGTGGAAAAGGGGAGTCAAGATGGACTGAATGCAAAATGAAAGTGACAAGCAAAGGCACTTCTTCATGAAGGCTGCAAAGCATGTGACAGCAGATGGGTGGAACAATTTAAAATGGATGTCAATCAATTATAGAATCATTATATATTGATATGCATACATACATGTGTGAACAAGGAAAAAGTTAATACATGGAAAGATTAAAAAGCTTGATGTAAACCATGGAAGAATTCACAGGAAAGAAGACTAACATAACAAAACTCCAAGAAAACCAAAAGAAATATAATCATTGCAATATATGAGAGTATTGCCTGAATCTTTTCCTGTTCGTAGTTATTGTTAAAACAAAATCATAAAGGAGTCTGTTTAACTCCCGAAATATGCAATGATTAACTTTCTTCTCATTTTCAGAGACTCTGGAGGGGTAGCCATTTTAACTACACTTAGTTGGGAGCGGACAATATGTACCTTTCTGCCATCTATGCCAGGGGTTCCAGGCAAGCCCATATCACCCTGAAGATGGGTGGAAACAATAAAAACAAAAAATGCAAACCAATGAGGGAAAAAATGCCTGAAAGTAAAAACCAACCAGTCCTACAATACTCCAAATGGGCTGTTTTGAATGCATCACTTTGGTGTCCAAAACAAAAGGAATACGCAAGATTCAGTGCTGAGAACGGATTAAAGCCTTTCGTAATATCCTCAAAGTTGTAATACTTTTTCCGGACATACACAGACAATGTATCTCAATTGTAAATGATCTTCAGTAAGGATCTGTGACTTCCTTTTTTAACATTATCTTTTGCCTCCTTGACCACATTCTATTTTCTTACCTGTTAAAGCTGCCAACTAAAACACAACTCTTTGCAGAATCACTTCTGTGTCTATTCTACATCAAGACCACATGCATTACCATCTTCTCTGTGTTTTTTAACCATCACAGTATACATATACCTGTCAAATTTCTCTTTTTTTTCTTTCAACAAGAATCATTTTTCCTCCTTAAACCTGCACATCTACAAGTGTTTCTATCCTGGAGACACATTCAAAAGCCATTGTGGAATATTGAAGGACTGGTTCATAATCAGGAATAGAGAAGAAACAAGAGCACTTCTGTGAGGTGGCAGAAATAAATACAATTGTAGGGGAGGCATGGAATGGGATGCGTCGTGTTAGTGGAATAATGTGGCTGAAAATTAGATACCAAGTTGACAAAATAGACACATATAAGCTATTTCCACCATCCAGTCTTCTTTAATACATTTTGAAACATGGAGGTCAATATAAGGATTGTTTGTTTGGAGGTTGAATGTCAACAAAACACGACAAGTTTATGTGATGTTATTTTTCATCAACTTGATATCCATTGGAAGAGGAGATAGCAGAAGTCATGCAGGGAAGAGTATGTGCATATTCCACAGGTTTTGTAAAACTACAACTCTTTCTTTAGGCATTACTCTACAGTCTATACTACAGTAGTATACACACTACAGGCTTTGCAGGCATTATGGAGTCACAAGTCAGATTACCACCAACTCAACCCCAAACCATGAAGGAGAATATGTTATTGGAGAGATAGCACACTTCAAACCATTTATGAATATGTCTAAGTTTAAAACTGAGAGTTGCGTTGCAGTTCACACCTTGCAGTTTGAGTCGACACATGTTAGGTTAAAACACGCAAGAATCAGAATTTTTGTCTTGTACTGATATCCAGAATGACATGAGGTCTGATCCTCAAATCTTCTATTAAAATGCATTGGTGCTACAATATACCACATTATTGACGTCTTGCCACAAATGCAAAAGTAACAATCATGAACTCTTCAGACTTGTAGAATGAGTATTTGGGGATTCATGTAAACTTTAGGAGACGTACATTGTACAGTACTGTATTATCACTTTATTTAGACATACCATTAGCTCAAGGGGCTCAGTCTACTTGAGAGTCTGAGATTCATGATTTTACTTAGATTTGCACCAAGATGTCTTTCTTGCTCCAGAAAGAAAATTAGAGAAGAAGCTGTATGCTTAGACTGCACTTCTGTTTTCATCCAAACCATGTTACATCACTGTGGTGGTATACTGTGCAACAAAGCACTTTACTTCACTATTAGGAGAGTCATACTAACACTCTACCACGGCTACACTTTGCATGGCATTACAGTTCATTAGATACCAACATCTATGCTACCAGCTGTCACACTCACAATAGCACTAATTTCTAAAGGTCATACCTTAGGGCCAGGTGCTCCAGGTGGACCAGGTGGGCCAGGGCGTCCCTAGGAGACAAAAACAAAGAGTCACACATAAGAACGAAGCCAGACTTTCCAGCCAATGGAATGCGTACAAACCTGTTAATTGCCATTTTCCTTCACTCAGCCTGGGTTGAGTACAAACAGTGCAGGAATAATAAAAAAAACAAGGGTTATTCTGCATTGCATTTCTGTGAACACCATGCCTTATAAAAAGGATTTTTATGGTGCTACAGCATTTTATTTTTGGGATGAAACTGACATTTCACTTAAAACAGAGTGTTGGTAAAACACACATTCAGCTGCTCTAACACATAACTGTGTAGTCTTAGGTGCAAATAGTTGTCACAGTTAGATACCAGCCATTCAACAATAAACAGAAAGTCAGACCTACTAAACTAAGAACGTAAAGCAGACAGCAGACATGACAATTTATAGACAGAGGCCTGAAAACGTTTGTCCATTTTGTGTAGTTTAGCTATACTGTATTTGATGGGCATGCCTGCAAAGCACAGTCATGATGCGAGCAATATTGAGTTGCTCTTCCATAGGGAACAGGGGTAGAAAGTGAAGGAGACATTACTTGAACATGAAATCTCCTTCAGAATGTCTATACTCAGAGTGGAATGGTCTAGTTTTAGTTGAACAGACTGATTTTTGTTGTTTGTGAGAATTCAGACGTTGCATGACAGTAATTCTACGGTACTAGGGTAATAATTTGGTGTCCAACAGAGGTAGGAAGATCAGTGTAGGGGCAGGGAAGAAGGGACAAAAAATAACTAGCATTACAGTAATACTACATGTACATCCAGTACAAGGGATTAGTGGCATATCAATGGAAAGGTGTTAACAAAATTGTAGTAGTTAGAATTGCACATTATTGACACATCTGTGATTCATAAGGTACTAGGAATTGTTCCTCTTGGAAGAGCATTCAAGATTGCTACATCAAATTAAAAGGACAATTTTGACAAGGGATTACATATTTTAACCATATAATTGGGATATCAATTGGGAATTTGTAGATTGATAGAAACTTAGGAACATACACGCAAAGTCAGGCCAGGGAATTGCCGACCCTTTATGACAGACAGAAAGAAAAGAACAGATAAGGTTAATGGACGTTGGTTCAGTCTGCCTGGACAAAACAGCAACGTTAGTACCAAGGGAGGGGGGGGGCTGCAACAAACTGCCTCAAATCAAGAAGACAGAAACTCAAAGGCAAAGTAAAACAGAACAGGCAGAGAGCGACCATCTACACACTACATCAGACAGCAGTGTCTTTAGTACATTATTAGACATAATTCTTGACACAATAACATCTACCAGGGATTTATACACACTGTAATGTTTTAGAGAAAATGTTAAAATATGTTTAAAACACTCAATGCGCCTTTCTGGAAGGCAGACTATGTGCAAATACTATGACAAAGACAACTTGCAAGTACGCTTTTCAAACCCAAGGCCAATAGTTAACAGTCTTAACTATTAACTCGAACACTATTTTGCAACTAAAACACTACTTGACGTCCCAGTATAATGACAATAAAGACGTCTACATTTCTCATCAATGCAGAGCAATGAAGCACCATACACAGACTATCTGTAACCTCCAGGATAGACCGACAGCATTGGGAAGAGTATGACATTGTATTGTCAGTTATAACTCAAACTCAAATCAGTCCAAATCAGTTTTTAACACTTCAAGGAAAAGCATTCTCTCCCAAATGTCGTAGGCCTCTAGATACAGTCAAGACTGATGCATTCATTCACTTGTACTGTTCATGCACAAGTGAAGAGGAGAGTTGATTCACCTGGGGACCAGGATTATTGAGAGGGCCCTTCTCAAGGTAGCATGGAAGGTGAGAGAAGAGGTTGAGGGGACAGAAAACACACAGTTATAGAAAGATGACAGCTACCAGGCAACAGTGAAGATCTCAACATTCATAATACAAAACAGCAAAATGACACAACACATCTGTCTGCAGAAACTTTTTCTACACATGTTTTTTTTCCCTGCAATTATTATTTTCACACTTTTCCTCAGATACAAATCTTTCAACAATTCAAGAAGAGTATGCAATATGAACATATTTTGCCTTGAGAAATAATCAACCAAAAAAGCATATTATTATCACAATAGTAAAGAAAGTGCTAAACTTACAATGACATCAGTGAACACGTTATCCTCTCCTGAGAACTTGACTCCGCCCATTTCACCCTTCTCTCCCCTGTCTCCCTGGTCTCCCTTGTCTCCCTTCTCACCAGGGTCACCCTTCAGGCCCTGATATAAGATTGGACAATCATTTTCAGAGACATCCACACAAATAAATGAGAGATAACTGCATTTGAACCTGAACAGTTCAATCTTAATGCATCCACCTTGCAATGGAAATCAAACAATACAAGTTCCTCCATTGACTGCATTATATTTTTCAGGAGGAAAATGGTCAAAAGTGACAGGTTCAGGTTCACACTTCAGTTCATAATGCACCATTGCATAACAAGAATGAAAGGGGGAGGGGGGATTTAGAGGATATTTAGAGGATCTAAGGGGGAGGGGGGATTTAGGGGATCACACCAACACACAGGTGGAACTTATGTGTGAACTTACAGGTGGCCCCATGGGTCCTGTGTCTCCTGCCGGACCCTACAATAGGGAAGTCAATGGCAACTACTCACTACACTAGCATGGTCACCGCTACATCAGCAAGCCATGGTAGAGTGGTGTTAAAGCGGTTGTCACGGACCAATCAAATAGCTCATTTTACATCCTGCAAAAATGTCTACTCTGACTTGAAATACTTAACTACGAAACAGGTATCAGGAAAACTAGAACAGACTTGTGGGTAAGTCATCTTATAAACAGAGTAAGACAAAAAAAGCCAGCAGACCTGTATTCCTGCAGCTCCATTGGAACCAGGCAGACCCATGTCACCTCTGTCACCCTGGAACAAGAAAGGAGCAAGTCTGACTACAAATCTTTGGATCCCTGTGAGGTCAATTTTTAATAATAGCACAATCTTTAAGAGAATCATCTACATGTATAGCAAAACAATCCACTCTGGATAAAAGATAAATTTGACTATTATAATCATAGTAATAGGCATGGAGCTGATTTGCCAACAAATGACAGCTTGAATATTTTGTCCTTGGTGCTGAAGTACAAAATATTCAAGCTGTCATTTGTTGGCAAATCAGCTCCATGCCTATTACTATAATTATAATAGTCAAATTTATCTTTTATCCAGAGTGGATTGAACAGAGTGGAAAAGACTGACCAAGAGGCTGACAACTTACAGGCCTAAGGCCTAAAGGCGTCAGGGTGAGAAGGTGAGAAGGTGCTGAAGTACCAATCAAGTGTTGTTGACCTCAACAGACTGAACAACCAATCAGAGCCTAAGTTCCTAATAGCTTACTACCAACCAGCTCTGTCCTTGGTGCTGAACTACCAATCAAAGAACTGAGTTGAAATATTAAAACTAATCACTGTTTTTGCCCTTGGTGCTGAACTCCAAATCAACTGGGCAGTTACAATTACCTCTGGTTTACCATACATTGCGTCAAACATGAGATCATTAGGATGAAGATTAACACATTCAAGCTCAAGAGTATTTTGACAAAACAAACCCACCTTTGGCCCAGGTAGACCCCGGCTGCCAGGATATCCATTCTCCCCAGGCTCACCAGGTTCTCCCGGTGTCCCTGCTTTTCCAGGTAAACCCTGTTCACCCACCTCTCCCTGTGGACATGGGCAAATGACTTAAGATACTGATGTACAGTCAGAACTGTCCAAGAAGACCACTCAGGGGACTATGGGGTTATTATAGACAGGATTCTTGATGCTTATGTTAACAAGGAAAACTATCTATGAGAGCACCAAAAAGACATCAACTTGGTCTGATTTTGCTCATGTGGAAGAGGACATATGTACTAAAAGTGACTGTATACATCCAAACCATTCAGTCTTTTCTTGTGTACATGTATGTCCTTAAGACAGTTCAAACATCACACATACATGTACATCAAACTTTTGCAACATCAACACCTATCCTGGCTTTTGCAGCACATTCTAATTCAAACAATTGCCCACTTTATCTACATTTAAATCAGCAACAATGTATTTTTTAGTTTTAGTGTGGATAATATCACTTAACATTGCCCTGTGCATTTTAATGTTCCTACAGTATCTAACACACCACACACATTCCTACCTTTACTCCATTCCTTCCAGGTACGCCATCTATACCTCGTATCCCCTACGGTAGTGTGTGCAGCAAAACAGACAGAGTTTTCATGGGGTGAAATTAAAAATGGTATAAGTGAGTGTATAATGCAGTTAGTAGCAAATAAAGGCTACTAAGTGAGCATCAACCAAATAAAAAAACAACAGACAAAATAAAAGACAGGAACAAGAAAAAAAATTTTACTTGCAAGGCAAAACAAATCAATATTGCAATGTAAGTCTAGTATCAAAAAATAAAAGCAATTGAAGGTGTAAACATTTCTGGCATAAATAAGCTCAGTAAAAAGTTAGCTTTTGTCTTCATGGTGTTACCATGCATGTCACTCATGTACCTCAGCTGAGGGAAAACTAAGGTAAAACAAAACAAAAACACATCATGTTCACATGTTCTACTATACTACAATCATAGTAGATTCTTAACTTCTTGTTTTGATAATTGGAAGGGATGTTTAGTACCTAATGTTAAGAGGTGGACAGGGAAGTAGCATTGCATTATGGTACGTTTCATTACAAAAACTCCTCAAAAGAAGTCTTGCTCACCGAAGGACCTTGGACTCCCGGTACCCCTGGAGGTCCCATCAAGCCTGGCTTTCCTGGGTCTCCCTTTTCTCCCTGGATAGAGAGAATGCCTTACATTACTGCTGAGAAAATCTATATAAAGAAACCACATGCTGCTAACAACACTTGCCAAAAAGGCCTCTACTTTAACATGGTTTCTTACTTTAAAAAGCTTCTTTTTATCTTTCACACAATGTCTTGTATTCTACTCATGTTGCAGCAGTCTACATTGTACTATAATCACATGTAATGCTGGTCAAAGCTTTGGTCACTTCATTAGATTAAGAATGTATTTATATTGTAAAATGTACACAAAGGTAGTGGTAAGGATGGAAAAAGGAATAGGCTGCACAAAGCTTACATGACAGTTGAAATTACAATGTTTGCAGACATCCATCTCCCCTTAAACATTGAAATCATCCCACAATTGCTGCTACAATGGCATTTAGGAATTAACATGTATTTTAAAGCCATACACTACCTTGATTTGGACAATCGTTCCAGTAGAGCTTATAGGAATGCCTGGTGGACCCTACAACACAGCACAACACACTCCCACAGATCAACAATAGTTTCTTTGACACTAAGGGCATTTATTTCCCACATCTAATCTATCTACCATCGTGATATCATAAAGAAGGTGCATGCTGTAGCAGTCACTACATACATTGTCACTTTTGTTTCTAGAGTTACAGATTGAACATGCACAGAAAAGACAAGAATGAGACTGGAAACAGTTCAGTATGAAGTCATGCATTACAAGAGATGACACAAACATTCATGCACACTGATGTATGGAAACAGTTTCTAAAACAAACTTCATCATAATGCTTTACCTTAGGGCCGGGAGGACCAGGCTCACCCTATAGAAAGGTAAACATTTTCAAGTAAGTCATTTTGTCATAAACTTCAACAGAGTCTTTCTTACAGCATGGCAGAAGCTTTGAACACACACATCTGGTGTTGGCTTTCCTGTAATATTCAACTTATCCTTTATTAAGCATCAGCTCTTTTGTAGCATGCACATTATGATATGTACATGCATTGAGATGGCTACTAGGGACTTAATGTAATGGTTAACATGCACCCTTCTGATATTTTCTACTACAACTTGTGCAGCATTCTTCAAGCCAAACCCTCTGATCTAGGAAGTCCTTGTTACCTGCTGACCATCTCGACCAGGAAACCCCTGTGGAGCAAAGAACAGCCAAAGGATTTGCATCATTAATACACACTACTATGTTGCTTTGATGCTGCAGACCATCACAGCTGCTACAAGTGCAATACATGGGCAGGCTGCTAGATGGTGTGATTGTCACATGCATTTGCTGCTCATTCATGGCATGAGGAAAGAAAATCCTGACACTTTTAACTTTACTTCTACATGTACGTTAGCAACATTAGATAGCAAAAAAAACAGAAATACAATGCTACTCATAATATATTATTTCTTCTACAAACTATACTGTCATGAACATATCTTTACAAAACCAATGATATATATAACATAGAAGGATAGATAATAAACATATCTTGACATAATGTAACATTATCTGTGATAAAACCATCAACTTACAGGTTCTCCAGTAAGTCCCTTTGGTCCAGGTGCACCCTTTAAATGCAAAAAAGGAAACATCAAAGACGCAATTTAAGTTTTAGGTGTGATGAAAGTTTAACTTAGCAGTGGTTCAAACAGAAGTTTTGGTTCTGGTCATCATCAAACTGTAGTCTTGCCCCCCTCTAATTTTCTGCCTTGGGATGTACATGACATGTGTATGTGACTATTCAGAAATGATTCATAAAAAAGACAAAGCGTATACAATGTACTCACAGGTCTTCCATCCAGGCCGATAGGACCCTGCACAAGAAGTGAGAAAAAAATCATGTCAGCAAGGAAACAAGACTTATATTTCAAGAAATGAAAAAGAAAATAGGGAACAAAAATGGCAATTTTCAAAGCTGCCCTTAATCATCTAGTTATACAAGAATTAGTACATTTTGATTGTTTCCTAAAAAGTCTGGGATAGGGGTTAAGGGTTACCACTCAAAAATCATAAAAACCCCAATCACAGCCTTTGCATGTTACACACTGACCATGCTTGCATATCTTGACCAAAAAGCAGAAGTTTGATTTTACACTTTTTTTGCTCTTCGTATTATAAGAAAATTTGAAAACATGCCATGGGGATGTACAGCTTGTATATCTAGATATGATGGGCAGCTTCCGTCAGTTCCATGTATGATTATACTATGATAATGAAATGAGAACACCCCTATGTGCAGTGCAGACAAGAGACACAAGCCGTGAAGGGAGGAGCTGACTGACAATGAGGGAAGTTACAAAAGCAGCAAGAAGAGAGGAGAAAACTCTACAGAACATGTTTGTCAGGTATTACACTTGTTATTGGTTGTCATGGTATTGTCTCAGATTAATTTGTACACTTCGTGTGATTGGTTAACACTGTTGATTAAGTCATCTTTGATTGTTTCTTTTTTTCTCTCGACATTGTCAAAATTATGGTTGTAATTATTGTTAAGAAATGCAACATTACACAAAGAAGTTGGTACCAACTACAAGACAACATCAAACAGGGCTATATACTGATGTCCGTTCCAGTCTCTGACATCCCCCTACCGTACTGCTTTTTGCAGGAATAAAGTTGCCGTCAGGCAAGTAGGAATGAGTAGCAGGGGGTTTACAGTGTCCAGGATAAAGGAGGTTCTCCAAGCCAAGATTTCCCGCCACCTCCAAAGCAAGCACTACGATGTGAGGGTGCCAGAGTGGGGGAGGGGGGTAGAGAGGGTGATGGTAGACTTCTGCTGCATGCTTCCATATTTCTCATACCTTCTGTGTCATCATCATCATCGCACATCATCAATTCAAGAGCCAAGCCTCATTCAACATGGTAGGCAGGCTGCTCAATAACAGTCAAATCAGACATCATTTTCATTCCTCAAAACAAAATATGTGTCCTGCTCTACTGTACATATCAATATTACAGATAGCAAAAGGCTAGCAAACTCTACAACTACATGGAATGTACAAGTGTTTCTAATTAGAGCATTCTTCAGAAAAACGTATCCAAATAAACGTATTGCAATGCCACTTTTCATATTGCAATTCCTTAGAATGTTTAGCAGCCATTGTAATCAGACCATTCATAATGTTACAATAGCCAGACCATTTTCAACATAGTGCATATACAGCTTCCATTGCAGCCAGCAAATCTTCATTGCGCAGGCTTTAACTATACAATGTTACAGCCATCTGAACACCTATCTTTTAAAGTAGCTCAAACAATAGCAAGGCTACACAGTCATCTTGCAATTATGTACAGAGCAGCACATTGGATAAAACGTGGTAGTCTTTTAGGCATAACATACATGTATGTGCAAAGTATTATAAGCACCATAGATTTCAGGAAAAGAATGGCAGCAAGGTACATACAGAACAAAGCATGCATTCTGCACCATACATTAAGTTCTTTCAGGATGTAGTGATGACCTCTATCCTTTCGATAACCTCTAGAATACATGTACTTATCGATGGCATATTGCACTTCAAAATGGTAGGAATTTGTGGCACAGCTTTCAACATCCTTTAAATTATTCTTTTCTTTATAAGATACATGTATGATTAATGTTATTTACACTTTCATAATAGTAAAGCTGGCAACCGAACTGTTTCTTGAGTTGTGCAACAAATTTTTGACGGTAAAAAAAGGTAAAAGCTTGTCAGCAAATTGAATATGTAAGCAATGTGACCAGTAAGGTGTCATTTTTGCCTTTCTTTATTACAGTATCAAGTGTATTAATATGTTTGAGTGTGCCACTATCAACTTCCATGAAATATTCCTTCTCCTTGTCTTACAGCCTTGCTGGCGTGTTATATTCTTAAGCCACACCAATCTATTTGTTTGGTTTCCAGACATTTCAAAGTAAAAAAATGTAGCAAGTGGCCAAGAAGAAAATGGGCTGTAGGGAAGTGTCCCAATGTATGTACTTGCCTCTCTTTTAATGTGAACAAACAAATGAAATTGGTGTGGATCTTTTACAAGTTACAATAGCTTTACTTGTGTGTTACAACAGATTTTGGTATGTTACATCCCAACTGCGCATTACATGTCCAACAGCCCATTATGTGTGTTACAATGGTTCTGGCAGTGGGCTAACAAAGCTTTCCTTGGCCCAACTTCATCTTGGGCAGTGCAAAATAGGTAGATTCCGAGTCAAACATGTTAAAAAGAACTATATAACTGTCCAGTAAGGTGTGACTGTGTGTAATATCAGTGCTTGGGACAGATAATCAAAGGAATTCATGGCCAACACAATGGAGGTTTCGGGAATCCTGAAGACAGGACACACCGGAAATCCTGGGTATCCTCTGTCTCCCTTTGCTCCCTAAAAAACGAGAGATATGGAATAACTTTATTGCTCAACAACTGCATAGGATATGTGCAATGTATGGCAACTACATGTACTTTTGTTTACCTCAACTTTGACAAAAACCATATACAGGCTGGGGGTGGTTAGCACAGACAAGATCTGGCTTTAACATGGAAGACCTTACAATGTAGGTTTGAATAAAACATAGCACCATACTTACTGACATGCCTGGTGGTCCAGGTAGGCAAACCCCATCCAGACCCTGGTCTCCCTAGAAGTGATGAAACAAACGTTGGTGATGGCTTTGACCTAGAATACTTGTGAAAAGAAAGGTCCTAAATACAGGAAAACAAAAATATTGGACCGGAAGTTTAATGTCATCCTCATACCTACCCTGTATCCTTTATCCCCCTTAAACCCAGGATACCCTCTTTCCCCCTGCAACAAAAATATATATAGAACATTCAAACATGATAGCCTAGTCCATGAATGTTAAGCACAGCAAAACCCACAAACATTTCAACCTTTCTTTGCAAGGATCACAGTTGCTGTGCAACATTAAGAAGAAAAGAGTGGCATCCATAAATATGATTGTGGGCACAATTAAAGAGCAGGACAGAAGCAAACGTGTTGCATTTGTGGCAATGGTGACAGTGCAGCTGAAATGAATCATGATAACCACAACATATCCATGAACATGTCAGTGGTAAAACACAACTGGTTTTCCATAGTACGCAAACCCGTAATATAAAATTAACAAAAGTAAAGTGAATGTAAATTGTTGCCCTTTGACGACCTCTCACCTTTTTCCCTGGAACCCCTGGTAGACCAATGCCTCCCTATAGGGGAAAAAGGGAACACACAAGAAAGCAAAGGAACAAAACAAGCTCAAGATCACTAACTACATTGTACATGTTCACAGCAGTTCTCATAAGATTACTTTTAAGAAACAGACTTGACATTCTTCACATTTATACAATGTCCATTGAAATCATTGACAAGATAATAATCATGATACATAGAAGTCAATCTTTCTTTCATTATTAGATATATACCAGTAAAGAAAAATTCACACTAGTCAACATGTAATCTCAATATCAAGCTGTCATGCCTTGTAATGTCACTTCAATCTGTCAGTAGAGCAGTAAACCTGGACCACAGATGATTGTCAGAAATGTGGAAGCAATGCAGTGAGGTCGACTGGGGAACACCCAAGGGGGGAGGGGTGCATGCAGCATGGCACGCATCGTAAAGTTACATACACTTCAACTTCAAGAGCATTGTGATAAGTTATATCAGCTCTTGTAGCAACTTTTTATAAACCAAATGATTTCCCATCCTAATGTATTGGGATGGTAATTTTTTCTTGCGCTCTCTTCTAGATGGTTCTTCCCTTCTAACCATAGTTTTCAGACTCCTTTTCTTCACATTGTTCTCAAAAGACACCAAAATAAAACAATGAGATGTCCATTTGAAATTTGGATGGTATGATACCTGTGCAGTCTGCATTTGGAACAAGCTTAACCAGCGATACTTGATCAAACATGTTTATGCTTGCAATTTTATTCAAGCAAAACTGATAGTCTTTACTTAAAAATAAGACAAAAGAGTCCATGCGAATCTTGTCAAGAACTAGAAGAGTAATCATTCTTGAGAAAACCCATGCAGGAATTGTGTCAAAACAATTACTAGTAGTATGACATGGCCATTAGAAGGAAAGTGGAATAAGTAGTTTACATGGATTAACTCTATATAACATAAGACACACTAGTAGGGTATATGTATTTGTGAGAAGGTATACCGGAAAGCCATTTTTGCCTGGTGGGCCCTGGGAGAGAAAAAAAAAGGATGAAGAGAATCAAAATTTTAGTTAAATCATGTACTGATTACTTAGTCTACTACAACAAAAACAAAATTGATCTTCTAACTACAAACAAAAAAATGTGGAAATTACAGTGATTTGGGTCATTAGAAATTACAAAATGACAACTACAATTTGGTTATTAATATAATGATTGTAATTGAATAATGAAGAAGCTTAGATGGGATTCCCTGGCATTGAACTTTGGCCTCCATACTTACTGGGTCACCTGGAAGAAAATAACAGGATATTAGTGAAAATCAACAAAAATATAATAACCACATTAAACTTTTTCTTTAACATTACAGCTTTTGAAATGCATAAACGTGATGATTAATCTTAAGTCAGAGTAAATTTGAGAGATATGGACCTATATTAGTATGTAGAAATGACAATACCTGTATCTCCTTTTCTGCCTCTCTTCCCTCTTCTACCCGGGGGACCTGTAAAACATAAAAAGGGAAAAATACAATAAGCTTATGGTGAAAAAATTGCAGTTACCTATCCTTTTTCAAAAGTTGTTTCTACGGTTTAAATAAACTGTGATCCTAATGCAAAACTACAAATGAGTGATGGAGTACATTTTCCAGTCAGCGCAAAAGCATTGGCCCAAATCATACATTGTAAAGGGCTTAGGTGTTCTATGTTCAAAGGAGGCTTAAGGGATTTGAAGCACTTTTAAAACCACTATAAAATGCTGGATACTTCCACTTTAAGGCCTGAGGCTACCCTGTACTGCGAATGGCTGTGTTGTAAATCCTTTAACAATGAAAATTACTCTGATAGAGATCAGGTTTTCCTGAAAAACAGAAAACTTTTGGGACAGGACAGCCTCAGACACCCCAATAGTTCTGTCTGTGGATTAGAAGTATCCATGGAGGAGTCAACAAATCTGGATGGTTGGGATGTCAGGAGTCTGCCGTACAAAGCCAGCGCCGCCCGCCTGGAGATAAGATCAGAGCTGCACCTGGGGGCGAGGGCCGAGCCGCAGGTACTCCGCAACCCGGGCTTCCCCTCGTCAACAACATCAGCACGCGCAGGACAGCCGGCGCCAAGGTCGCAGCATAGAACAGACGACAGCTTCAATCAGTTGACGTTTATCTACCGAATCATCACAGTCAACCAAGGACTGGATCCTAGGACGACTTTTATACCGAGAATGTACGACTTTGCTTATGTCTGAACTTAAAAATCGATAACCAAGTTTAATATAAGATTAAAGGAATTATGAGAGGTCAAAGATCAAGAGGCATCTTAATTGAAATAGCAAGGAGGTTATTTGAGACACATGGAGGGAGTTATATATTAGCCAGTTTGTGTTTAAACTTGGTCTGCGAGGGTGGTGTTAAGATAAAAGGGAAAACTGGCCATTGTTTCTAGGATCAAAAGATATTTTCCTCTTTGATGTGGGGAGATATGATCTCCGTACTATTGAGACTGGAGCCAAGGTATAACATCAAAGACCAGGATGGTGTAGATAAAGGAAAAATTCCCGACCTAATAATTAAGCAGACAGTTACACTACTATTATTACACATGGCAACCTTGTAAACAAACACAATCCTGAGAATCTGTCTGCTGAAGACTTGGTCACAGACCTAGCAGGTGTGTAGACTGTTCCAAAAGTCCTAAATGTCTGACTCTAAGATGAACTATTCTACTTATTTCTAGATCTTCAGAACTTCATCTGATTGACAGACCAGAGTGTATGACTACATGTCTGACAACTGAGTCATGGACTAAAGTTGTACCCTTCCTTATATTAAAAGCAGGAATATCAAGAGGGCTTGAATCTCACCTGATAGATACCATACATACATGTTAATCTAGATGAAGTACATAAGTATATTTTGTCTACTATTTATTATTATGATGGCTGAAGTTGTTAGGTTTCTGAGAAGCAGAGGAGAACTGTACAGACTGCAAGACTTGACCTCCACATCCAAGCAGGGCCACCCATAGTAGCCTGGTTCAACCCTGGGTCTAACCATGGTGATACACACCACTCATCTTCAGACCTATCAAATATCATATAGCTCAAGTAAAGCATAATAAGGAGACCTTTGGACTTAAGAGAAGGTGGGGGGAAAGTGGAACAACATGTTTGAGACAGTATAAAAGATTGACAGGGAAAGTTTTTTTGTGGGTGACGTTAAAAAAGTTAGAGGGAAATCTCACAAGAACTGCATAAACAAATTGAACAAGCAAGTTTAGAAAACATTGCATAGGATATAAAAACATTAACAAATCTTTGGCCTGAACCCTTATCTCTTAGCTCTAGCTCATAAGTTTAGCTCTTGGTGCCACCTTATTCTTAGTCCTACTTCTACTTTATTTACATACGGTTGATAAACCCAATTACCTTCCTTTTCACAGCACGTTGTAGCTATCTTATTCTGTCAAGTTTAAAGTTTTCAAACTTTTTCAACAGACAAATTGAATACGCCCAATGAACACATGTCAGGAAATGCACACTACCTGTGACAGGTCTCTCCGGTATTACTCTAATTACCAAATTCCATTGGATTTTACTGTTAAAAGATTTAAAGGCCAAGCTGACATCTCTGGCATGCAGAACTGCATTAGTTTTCTTCCATTAACTGGTCTGCTGGTGCTATATCCTTTTCATCAAACAGTGACTGTCTGTTTTAGATTATATGGCATTGGTGTACATGGCAGAATTGGCTATGGTTTAGTGCTCTACCATTACAACAATTCTAGGAAATTGACAAGTGCATGTACCAGAGCCACTAAAAGAGTCAATCAATATGATACAGAGCAGGTGTCTTAAGTTAAAGGGATCTTAATAAAGAACGTTATGCCTTTGTCAGTGACTACTAAAAAAGCATAGCTGTCTGCCTCCTTTATAAAAGCTAATTATCACATTCCAACAGTTGACAACAAGACTGCACTTCAGGTCATCTGTCAGGAAGGTGGTACAACAAGGTGCAGAGAGCTGGAGGATAAACATCATTAAGATTCCTGCAACAAATCCGTAAAATGGCTAGGCCAAGTTCAACCATGTCTATAACCAATCCGGTTGACACGCTTGTTAATATTATAAATCCATTTCCTTTCCCAGCACCTAAATTGTGGGACACAGGGATAAATCAAGAATATGCTGCGTCTTTGAAAAGTCATGATTCAATATAAAAAAAAAAAACAATTTTCTTTTATTTGCAGATTAGCTATCATTACTTGTATTCCTGACTAAATATCTGACGGACAAGACCATCTAAAAGCTCACTTGAACCTCTTAACATTTTAACAAGGTGAAACCACTTGTAAAATACCAAAACAAGTTGTTTTTTCAGGGTAGACTTGTAGAGGACAGCTATGACTGCCTTGAAGTGAATTCAGTAACATCTGAAGCTACTTATCATACCAGGCAAGTAGGCAGAGAAAGTAGAGATAGTACTTGTCAGATCAAGGCCTGGAAAGTGTCTAGAAGCTGATTTAAACATTCTCAGATTGTCTATATCTACAAAGGTTGTATGTTAATGCTAGCTTAGGTTTGCAACTATAAGCCTTATGGCAGCTTCTGGATACAAGGTATGCCCAACCGAATGAAACATGAAGATGGAGTATCTTGTATACTGTATGGCTGCCCTATACATTACTTTGGCTGCCCCATACAAATGGCGGGACCAAGTTCTTTCTCCATCTCTCAGCACCTGGACAGGGCTGGATTCCCAGCTATGTGGAGGCTCTTGCCTTTGTGAGTCAGTTTGCCTAATGGCCTGAGGGAAGGGGGGGTCAACTGTAGGTGAGCTGAGGCAATAACCTATAGCAACATACGCATTTGAAGATGATTGCCAATATGTGCTTTCTACGGAGAGCCGTGTTTATAACTTTTTTCTTGTTGTATGTAATGACAAAGTTTATATTCAAAGAAGAGACATTTTATTTGTGATTACAGCTTTATACATCTTTATAACAGTGTAATCTGTGATGAAATCTTTTCCCATTTTTCTAATAGTATCAGAAGCAGAACAATAGTATCTTGATCTATTACCCTTCAAGTAAGCATTCTCTTCCTTCCTACTTTTTCTGCCTCTAATTTAGAGGAGTCAGTACACGTCAGGTCACCCGTATGATTATCTGACAGAGCCCGTTGACAGTGGACTTCAATCTTGTGATCACCCAACCACCTTCGCCATTCCTTATCCGTCATTCCATCAAAGCTTTATTAAATTTCTTAATTCCTTCCAGTGGCAATGATTATGCCCTGATACCTTCCACCTAGGAACTTGTCTTCTCCAATAATGGGTCTCACTATGAAATCTCCCACATCCACGTGGCTCCACTTAATTTAGATGAATGTCTCCAGGACATTTTGCTGCAAAAATTTGGGTTGCAGTTCGGAACAAATTTGTGGAGTCATTGGCGGCAGCTGGGCTGTCATCGGGATCAGTTATTACATTTATCACCTGGCAAGAGTGTTCTTGGAATTTTTTTAATAGAAAAAGGACAAGTTCTGAACATGATAAAAACCAATGTATCTACCCACTCTTTCATACACAGTTGGAACTTTGACATATCAAGTGACAGATACCTATACTATAGAAAGAATACATCAAAGGACTAACGTACAAATATGATTACCTTTTTACACTTTGGAGGGGATGTTAATTCAGTCCTGTGCATGCATATGGAACCCTGAGGCATTTACCTTGAGCCGTGGTGAAGGCACATTACATAATCAGCCAAACTAAAAGCATCATGCTTCACCTCAATAGAGGATAACTTCTTTTCACCTTACCTACTAAGATGCACAATAATAGTTTCCTAACAGTCTAGTGGCTGCACAACTCCTGGCAAGACTTCAAGCTACTCAGGAAGTGGAGGCTTGCCCCCAGTTTGATAAGACTTGAACCAATGTGCCAACTCCAATTCTTAACAGTATGAAGTACTTGTACCAGAAACATTGTGCTGTTTTCCAACTCATCTGGGGCCCATTTACATTCTATGTGTAAGAGTTCTAAATTCCTCTTCTTTGTTGTAGCAAGCACCAAATTAGTGTTTAGTATTTTGACTACCAAAACATACATGCATAAAGGTTCCAGTACCTGACCTGATAACTTAAGCTGGTAGGGTTCAATATATTATAGGGGAAAAGTTGTCACTGCTGTCATAATTTGGAAAGGAATGTAAGAAGATAAGAGAACAGATACTTCAACAGGGATGATGCTTGGAAACACTACTTAAGTGTTTATCTGCTCTTAAGAAGCTTGAGATATGATACACAGAAAACAGATACTCCAACCATTGACAGTCAATGAACCAGACCAATGCCTAAGTAATTATTAACCTAAGGACAACATACAATAGATTACATCAGTGTTGACTTCATATTATTTTGCACCTGCTTGCCTATGCCAAGTTGACTCTGAAAACTGTGTATTCATTGGGCCATAGTAGGTGGAGAGTGCAGTACTGGTAT